ACTTTTGTTCTTGTTGTTGTTCTAGTCTCGCGTTTGGAAATTGTGTTGCGTGTTTGTTTAGAGAGCGAAAAGTAAGGAAGGCAGCCCCAATGGACGTCGGTTGTCTTCGCTGTAGACGAGAAATCAAACCAGTGCAGTGCGACCGCTAGCCTGGACACGCGGCGAAAAAGTCGGCGACAAATCCGGCGGTTGTAATTGGCCAACGCCGCATTTGACCTTGGCGCCAGCCGATCATATTTATTTATTTACTTATTTATTTATTACCTACATCGCCCCGAAGGGCATTACAGTAGGGGGAGTCAGAATATCAAAAAATGGATTTCTTAATACACCATAGGTTGTCGAGACACACAAGCAGGCAAAGCAATATACAGAACTCGCACACGCATATAAACGTACATAGAAAAGAAACAACCTTAGTCCGCATGAAAAAAAAAACACACACACAAATGCGTTAATAATATATTTACACTCAAATATATTGATCAGAGACAGTGCTGGAGTTGCGAAAAAGAAAACGAATCGCAACTAGCTTGGCAAGCTGCTCCATTCTTTTATCGTTCGTGGGAAGAAAGAGTTACGAAACAAATCCGACTTTGACGTGTACTCCCGAACTTTTTCGTCATGATCTACTCTGCGCAATACATAAAATGACTCGAACAGGTAATGTGATCTTTCAATTTTAGATAAACCATAAAAAAAAAAAAAAAAATACTGTGAATACATCGATTTCCATTGTAAATCCTTTTTTATTGCGGAGACACTGCTACGAAAGTTGTAATTATTTCTCACAAATCTAGCGGCACGGTTTTGAATTCTTTCGATTTTATCAATAAGACACTGTTGAGATGGATCCCATACAACGCAAGCATACTCGAGAATGGACTTCACGCAAGAGCAAAAGAGAGTCTGTTTGAGGGATGGCGGAGCGCGCGAGAAGTTTCTCCTTAGAAAACCCAGCGTTCTACTAGCTTTCCCTGATACGTACTTCACATGTGAAAGCCATCTCAAATCATAAAAAAAAAAGGTACCCCCAGATATTTAGCTTCTTTTTTAACGAGTAAAGTTTCTCCGTGTAAAGTGTACGTTGACTGGAGAACGTTGTGTTTTCTTGTGAACCTTACATGACAGCACTCTGAGATACTCAAAGTCATTTTCCATCGTGAACACCAAACAAATTCTGTCTAGATTGCCTTGAAGAGCCGATACATCAGAGTCTGAATTAATTTCACAATACAACATGCAGTCGTCAGCGTACAGTCTTATTTGCGAGGCAATTCCCTGGGTTATGTCATTTACAAAAATTAAAAAGAGGAGCGGCCCAAGCACGGAGCCCTGTGGTACTTCGGAAGTTACATCAACTGGTAGAGACTTTATCCCATATACAACTACACATTGTTTACGATCGCTCAAATAGTTAGCAATCCAATAGTACGCGTTCCTATCAATATTTAGACGCCTAAGTTTTTCTAAAATAAAACAGTGCGCAACCGTATAGAAGGCTTTTCGGAAGTCCAAAAAAATGCAATCGACTCGCTTGCTACTATCCACCGATTGAGCTATGTGGTGGGTATAATTCAGTTAATTGGGCGTCGCATGAGAACCCGGCCCGAAAACCGTGTTGCGAGGGAGTAAAAATTATTATTATTATCAGATTACTATAAATGATGTGCTCCATTATCTTGCATGAAACACTCGTTAGCGATATTGGTCTTTAGTTCTCAACACCGCTCCTGGCTCTAGATTTATGTACTGGTACAACAATCGCATGTTTCCAGTCGTGAGGCAACGAATCACACTGCAATGATCGGGTAAAAATAATCAAAAGATAGCAACTAATTATGTGAGCAGATGATTTGAGAACATGGTTCGGGACACCGTCGGGTCCGATCGCCTTTTCAACTTTAATGTTATTTAGTAAATTAAGAATTCCATTGTGACCTATCCCAATCTCTGGCATTTGTTAAAAACTACCATCATTTGCATGCAAAGGTTTCGCATTTAAATCCAGAGAAAAAATAGATCGGATGTAACGATTAAAGCAGGAAGCTTTAGCGCGTTCGTCGGTAGTTAACGAACCGTCTACCCCGCCGCCGGACTTCTCGCCGACTTTTTCCCCAAGTTTCCAGATTAGGGCCCCAGGTGTGACAGCTAGACGACCGCACGCCGGTAAGATGCTCATTCATATCGCAATGTGCAGGCAAGAGTGTGGATTGGAGCCCAGTAGTATGCCCGAGTTCTGCAGCGCGAGCTTTCGCCGCCCGTGCCGTGCTCCGAGCTGCTATGCGCTAACACTCTCGGGCACCGATTCCCCCCTCTCACGTTTGATGCGTGAAATTTCGACAGAAAGTGCGTTTTAGGTGCTCGTGGCTATATAGGCCTCCCGAGTCACTGAACTTTCAACGGCTGTGCCGACGCTCCTAAATCGTGTGCTGCCCAAAGTCTAATGATGACTTCTCGCCAGTTGGTGTCCTCAATGAACTCTAACGCAGTTAAATGTTGACCTGGCAAATACCGACTTAAACATTCCCGGCTTATTTTTTTTTTTTATTATTTCTTTCGTCTACGCGGCTCAGAAGGAAACGTTTTTAGTCGCGTTCCTTTCGGCATATCCGGCAGATTATAGAAATAACTGATTTAGACAAAATATTTTTCCACCCCACGTTGCTTTGCTGTAGTATTTAACAAGAGGTCAGAACATATTGCCTGAAGCGTTCTCTCCACTTGCATGTTTACAACGCGGTATGTTTGTCTACAGTCACTTTAAGGAAAGGGATACTTCGACGAAATTTGAGATGTACCCGTCGTGTTCAGAAATAGGCTGAATATGATCCACAATATCCGTAAATGACAATCGCACGTTCGTATTTTGAGCCTGGTGGCTGTATTTTTTGTTATAAACGGCCCACTCTGGTAAGCGCGCGGAGAGCAGCCAACAGAGACCACGTGACATCCGACGCAATCGTGACGTAATTTGTCTCGGCACGAGCAAAGCTGCGGCGAGGCTGACGTTAAGAGGGTGGCCTAGTCGTCCCAGCCACCGAAGCGGCTGCTTTTGTACGAATTTCGAGTGACGGGTTAATTTTCTATAATCTTGTAGAGGGGCAATAGCGACTTCTGGGACACACAAAAGGAAGTCTCGGGAAGAGGGGAGTTCCTCCTGCCCCTCTTCTCTCGTCGTGGCCGGAGGCGCGACACTCACCGTCACTAGCTCTCAAAATTCCTAGACGGGCATCACAAGCGAGGCGTTAGCGACATCCACCAGGTGCTCTTTGCTAATCGTTTAGTTTGTTTTAAAATTCCTTTTCGTGCCTTTCTTACCGAGATGTGGGTGTGTCCGATGTGATGCTGCTCCTTTGAACGCATACAGATGAAGTCTTACCGGTTGTGGAGTTGTAATCCGATGCTCGGCACTGCGTTTCTTAAAGAGTGGCAATAGGCCCCCTACCGAGCCTTCCCTAGTTAACGAAACAAACGATTCCTGCCTCTGCGAAACACGTAAGCTCACCTCAGCGAAACAGGAGGACATGCAATCAAACAAATTACGGGAGGTTCGACACCTCACTGCGGATCACGTGGTTTAGCCGGTTAACCAATCAGCAAACACAGGCGTTCCCCCAGCCACAGGGAACCGATATCCCGTTCAGACAGTCGGCCATCCTACGACGGCGGCGAGAGCGCCTTCCCCGCATTGCAGACGACATCACGGAGCCTCCCCGTTTTCTTTCTCTCGTTCTTTTTAAAAACCACCCCTGCACAAATATGTTTTTGCCGGAACGAACCCCGGAACAAAAGACCGGTGATCCATTCCCCATATGATATGCCCCGTGGCGTGATTTAATTTCGCGAAATTGGATTTGATAATTTTCCTTTCCACAGTGGTTCTTTTTAATGTATTTTTATCGAGGGTCGGAGGCCGTAGCCGAGAGGGGGTGGGGATATAATCGTGTGTGCGTTTGCTCACGCCTGTATGGTTTCGGGGATTGTCGAACCGGCAGCGCGCCCTCTTTTTCTCCTCTTCGGATGTATACCGCAGGATGCATGCGCTCGCGTATGTTACCGATCTGGTTTTCGAAAGGTTTCGGCGCCCGCAAAATCGAATCATCTCTTATCCGATCCTTGTTTACCTCGGCTGGAGAGAATTGAACGCGGCAGTTTTCGGGTTCTGGAACCGGTTGCGAACGCCGCGCCCACACTCCGTTTAACCCTACTGTGGACCACGGGAGATGTTATGAGCCATCGCGGAACCAATCCGATGCCGCGTTATTGTCACGTGAGCTTCGAGCTACGCACGGGACGCACAATCACGTGATAGTTTCGCAGCTCTGGATTGGCTGGGATGGCCCGTAGCGTCCGCTGCGGTCCAACGGAAGGGGAAACGGAGTATTGTTTTGGGGATGGCAGAGATTTCTAGTTCGCTTCCCGACCACTTCCTTTTGTTTCTGCGATATGGGCCGCCTTCAACGGGTTGTGCAGCTGGTGCTGGGGAGCGCAATTATTTTCAGGAGAATAGTTCCGCGCTGGTTTGGCGAGTTCAATTGAGAACCACTGACAAGAGGCGCACGTACAATTGGATTACTAGGATAAATTACGGACGAATATATCTATTCGCGTGGAGTTGATTCTAAATATTTCACCACTGTCAAATTAATATCGTTATTTCTGTTAGTTGAATGCGAGCTAGCACTATAAATTATTATGAATAAATAAGATCGTCCTGACCACAAAATAATTATATTCATTATCAGCTCAATGAATACGAGATGCTTACATCGTGAAGCAAAAAAAAAATCTGAAAGCAAATTAGAGGTAAATCTTTTTGGGGCAAAGGGCCAAAAGATCAAAATAATATGATTTGTTTATATTCTTCTGAATTTAGGCGTTTAATATAAAATTCCCCGCGGTAATGACATAAAAATTGTATTACGATCTATAAAAACTTACCACATTCATTCAATGTCTATGCATGAAATGATAATGCTTTTTTTTTTCCTGCGCAGTTTCGACGACAGCAGTTCCATCAGCAGCGGGCTGAGCGACACCTTCGCCGAGATCAGCACCAACGACCTGACCGACTCATCCTTGAGCTCGGACCCGTACGGCTGCCTGAAGCGGCACCACTACCCGGTCATGACCGCACCCTGCAACAAGTACTCGTCCACCACTGACAAGTCTTCCTCCCGCAAGGCCGACCAGCAGGCTTCCACCAGCGCATCCGCCACCATCGGAGTACCGCTGTTGCCCACCACCTCCGTGCGGAGCAGGAACGCCAACGTCAAGAAGACTGACAGTTCCATGCAGACCGACTCCAGCGCCCTCCAGCAGAACCTCACGTCCGCCAACTGGAAGAGGTACGTCCAGCAGCAGGAGCAGTCCAAGACCAACTCCACGGAGTCGCTCAAATCCAAGGAGAGCAAGCGGAGCGCACAGTCCTCTAAGACCAGCAAGTCCCTGGACAGTAACAAGCACGAGGTCCATAAGAGCAAGTCCAAGACGACCTCTGGCAAAGGGGACGATTCCTCCAAGTTGAGGTCGTACTCCGCCGAGCTTGCGGGGGCAGCCGGCGATGGGCCACTCGACAAGGGCCGCTCTGGAGCGCCGAAGAGCGGGACAGAGTACGTGGTCAACTCTAGGAAGCTGGTCAATCGAGCCCCCAACGCGGTCTGCGTCGCGGGCAAGCGACCTTCTAGCACGGCGTCAACGGGAAGTGGTAGAAGCGGAAGCTCCCAGCAGAGCAAGAGGGAAGGTTCAGACCTGGAGCACAGGACGTCGAGCCTTACCAGAACCGGAGAAATGACCCGGGGGAGCAGGTCCTCGCTGGAGCGCAAGGCCAAGGTCTCTGGAAGCACGCAGACGGTGGTCAACGACATGTTCATCTCGGCCCATTCGGACTCCGAGTACAGTTCCTTGGGGAGGTCGGCCGGCAAGCACGCGAAGCAGTACCTGCAGGCTTCCTTCGCGTCGCCTACGCTCGGAAGCATGCGTGAGCGCATCTACGGAACGAGGACCCTGCTGAATGGGTCGCCACCGTCGTACGCCTCCAACGCGGACTACGCCTTGCTTTCGGGCTTCCAGCATGGTCCGGTGAAGGACAGACCTCGGCTGTCGGTGCCGTCGGCGAAGGGTTCTGAAAGTGACAACTACATGACCTTGGATCATGGTAGTCCGTACGCCTGGCTGAGGCACAGTCCAACGTCCGGATCAGCTTCTGTGGCTTCGGCGCCAGTAGGAAGGTCGTTCGGAGGACCAGGAATCGCCGAGGCGGATAGCATGGAGTCACTGTCTTCAACGGCGTCCAGCGCACACGGACAGGTAAGCAACCGTAATTGGTTTTCTTCCTTCGTTTATTTTGCTTTTCTAAGTCCTAGAAGCATCACGCTAATCGTAAACGGAGTGCTATCGCCCTCAGAGTAGCTTGAACTACAAAACCACTCGATCAAGATAACTTTTTGTTATACGAGACTGTGAATAAAAAAATAAAAAAAATCTTGTTCGAATGCAACCTTGAACGGTAAATGTATGGAACGACAGTGTAGCTGACCTCAACGACAGCAGCCTATCATAAATAGGATCAGTCATAGACTCATAAAACGATGAACGACAGCCTCCTATGTGAGGCTATAGTGAACACGCGACTTGATCAGCAATAATTGCGGGACCACAGCCGATGACCTGTAAATCAATCGCAAGCAGTTAAAGAAAAAGGTTTTGATCATCCACTTCTTCCGGTATACACGTTTTGGTTATAATATACAAACCAACCAGAAACCGCTTGAGACCGTCGCATGTTTGTCGCACTGTGGCATGGTCTGCCAGTCGTGAGGTTTTGTTTCTTATCGCCTGTCTCGATCATTAGAGCATGCTTTCTTCTTAAGATTAATCGCAAGTTCTAGAGCAATTTTGAAGGCGTCACCAGTTACAAGCCTTGCCTCCTTTAAATTTTACGGCAACATCTCGGTCAAGTGCCGTACGAACCATGACTGGTCGACTTTCGAAAGATGTTGAGGTAACATGCGGACGTTCCTCTACAAGACGTCGCCATCCTTCCCAACCATGACCTCCCCATTCCCACCTCTCCTCCCTTCCCTTCGCCCAAAGTGGGCCGAGCCCTTCCTTTCCGGTCCCCTGCTGACGTCCCAGCGTGACATCACTTCCGGTACGGCAACCTGCCCCGGAAGAATATCACGGTCCAGGTCTCTGCGGCCCGCACAGTCCGAGAGACTAGCCCTCCCCCTCGTCGGACCACGCCCTCCCTCCTGCCCCCCGTCGCCCACGGGGCGACAGGTAGACCCTTTGGCCTTTGTCCCCTACCCATCCTAGCCCTCCGCCGCAAGGGGCTGAGGTCTTGCGGATTCCGGAAGCATGCCAGCATGTTAGTTATTCTGTTGCGCACATGACGATATCATAACCCCCAAATACACTATACCCGAGACCGAGGAACAGAAGGTTGTGAAGTAACTCACACTCAAGTCACGAGATTTGTGTTCAGATTAAATTCTTTTCCTGAGATTCTGAGACTTCATTAGTATCACTAAACCAAAGAAACTTTGTACGCCTGTTGGAAAACAAAGCAAGGATCCTGACTCTCAACCTTGCTTTGACGTTTGTGTTTTGACACTTGAGGTAGGAGAGCAATTAGAACTCAAGACTTTTCTTTAAAAAATGTAAGCATTTAAGCTAGAAGCAATTCTTGAAAGACCCCCAAAAAATTACACTCCAAACGCGCAAGACAAGAAAGTGCTTTTGACTTGAGAGTAGTCGTTGGGCAAGATCAGCTTTGTACGACAGTGACAAAACTTTCTTAAAATAGCACTTAAAAAAGATATATATACTTTCTTTTAACTTGAGTTTCTTAAAACTTTTTTTTGCCTTAGTTTTTTGGTGTCGTAGATCTTTATGTACAATTTGCACCATCTTACCTGTTTTCTGATAATTAAGTTATGTGCCTCTGCTCGAGCAGAAATTTTCATAAGACTATGGATCACCAACGGGTAATGAGTTAGCCTACTTCGTCTTCGACTAATTTATAGAATCATTCGATACGACATGAAACATGAATAGTTTTGGCTGCCTTTGCCTACTAGTACTTGTTGCTTAATTGAAGTTGAGTAGATTGTTGCACTCCTAGTAAAATGTTCTGTTGTGCATTGAAGGCATGTTCATGGAATGGCATGTTGCGATGTTTGCATGCATGGCCACCAATCAAGCCATCAATATGAGTATCGTGGAAACAATTGAAACCAACCACAATTAAACCGCTTAGCGGTATAAACAGCGTTGAAAACATAACATACGGTTATCGGTTAAATTGAAGATATGAACAATATGTATTAAGTGTGTTTCGACTAATCATTCTCTAACTTAGACAACATATCAAAACATATCATTGCCGGTGAACTACACATGAAGAACTGTAGCCGTAGCAAGCGGCAAATCCGTATCTATTTCAGCAAGAGGCAGAGGGAACATTGTGTGTGGCACTATTTTTCATGTTGTCATGTTTTATTTACAGGGTGGCTCACGCTACATGTACATCTCTTCTCCACTACACACGGCGAGCCATGCCCCGAGGAACTCGATGACTGTGTCACATTACATGGGAGGATTGCTGTCCAAAATGGCGACCAAGGATGACGATGGTGCGTACCCTTCCATGCAGATTGATACCGAACATTAAAGTGTAGCAGGCATCGTACTTTAGTACTTCAATGCAATGCACAAGCATATAATATTGTACCTCGCAAAATGGGCCACGGGTTTCCTGTATTTGCAGCGTATAAAATGTAGAAGGCAGCAAGCAGAACCGAACACCAAGAAAGATGACAGTATTAATATGTCATGTTTGACCAGTCGTAGAAACCCTGCGCGACATATCTGGACAAATTTCAAGAGAAATGTTAACATTTTGTTTCAGCTCATGGATCCTCCTTGTCACTGGTCTCCACAAACTCTTCGCTCTACTCTACGGTGAGCACGTTGTGCATTGTAATCGTTGTTTCATTGTAAACATATTACGCACCATTATAAAGACATATCCGTTCGCGTGAGTAACAGCTGCGAGTGTTTTAGTCGTGTGGGATTTCAGAATCACAGCACATGTATTGAAGTCCCAAGTAGCCCGAGACTCTTAAGCTTAGGTGCAAACAATCTGTAGAGCTGAAAGTGAATAAAAATATGCGTATTTCGAAACTAATATTGACCTTTTTAAATGGATTGGCAGTAGTACTTTACAAGAGAGCATAGGATATAATGGCACTTGTATAGCGCCGGGTACTTCTCTCTTTTAAAATATATCTTCTAACAACCCTGTACCTACAAGTGTGCGAGGATATATAAGTAATCCAAAAACATCTCAGTCACATGAAATGAAAGCCAGTGGTCTCAAGCTGATTGAAGTTAAAGCTCTCAACCATGTACTTTATTTCGTAAACTGTGCAGAACTTGACAGTTTTCTAGCTTATAGATAACATTATTTTTACTCTTAAACTATCGGGTTAGGATGGGATAGGTTTGAGCGTTTTCGTTTTCGTTTCAAATCGTTTTTGATAGCGTCCCTTTGTTCTGATAATAATCGAGTGTTCTCTGGTCTGTGCAGACCGAGGAGAAGCAAGCCCACGAGATTCGCAAGTTGCGAAAGGAACTGGATCAAGCGAATGAAAAAGTTGCCACACTGACGTCACAACTCACCACAAACGTGAGCGTTCGTTTACTTTATAAAACGCGATGTTTTTACGACCATTTTATCGCAGCATACCTGTCACGCAATCACAACATAGACCTAGGTTTTCGGTGCCGTATTTCGATGCCTCCGATTGCTCTAGCTTATGCTCTAGCGCCATCCTGTATCCAACATATTCAACAAAAAGGCTGGAGGAAAAAAAAAAAAAAAAAAAAAAAAAGCTGAGAAAGAGAATAAATAAACAAAGCAAGAAATAAAAAAAAAAAAAAAAGAAACCCGGGATATTGTGTCGCCATCTAGTGGCGCCGTTAAAAGCATCAACCGCGAGACTCCGCGTTACTCCGATAGATGGCGGTGAGGCTGCGTCGGCTGCGTCGGCTGCTCGAAACGACCTGGGCGACCTGGAACGCCCGCTCAGTTTACGTTACGACATATTTAATTCCTATACACATTTATTCCAGCCCTTCATAGAATTCGTAAAATTAGTCGTAGAAATTGTTTTATTAACTTTCCGTTGACAATGTTTTTTTTGTTGTTGTTGTTGTTTTTTTTCTATTAGTCCTCGAGCTTCGTGTTTTAGTTCTTCGATCGCTACATGACCGATATGGAATATTAAGAAACGTCGTACCTTTCATCCAATTCCGTCTATCGTTCACAAATGAGAAAAGATGACAATTGTGTTTTGCAAACAGAGGGAATTGTATAACCAAATGTAGTACCCACTTCTCAAATTTATCGTGGCAAATTTATTAGTGGCCCATTTTTATATTTGGAGAAGTAGAAGTAAAAATGAAATTGTACAACTATGGTTAGGTTAGAGCACAGTCGAAGGCTCGAACGCATACAACCACGAACACAGATACTAAAAGCGCGAGTCATGGGACACTCGTTGCACTAGATCGGTTTAACCTATGAAGGAACACGTACAGGGAGATGAGGAATGCCACGATGTCGCACTCTGATGCTGTTTGATTGGTCTCATTGACCCGTAGCGTCGGCTGTAGCGTCAACTTAAGGTGAAAATAACTGTAGAGATTGCTCATCTACCGTTCTGGCCGGTTGATGCGCCGACCGGTTGATCGCCATCGCCGACATCGTCTAAATTTCGAGACGATATCGGCGATTTCAGGAACTACCAAGTCGCGGGAAATCTTTGCAAGATATCAGTATGGCGGCTAGTGTGATAGGAGAGATCCGAAGTCTTGTACTCAGAAAATCACTCGACTGTCGTGTCTACCACATTCCTCCTTGCCATGGCTACTACAGTGTACCGTGCCACTTGTGCCGATCGCATCACCTTTACCGCCTCACACCAGCGCGCGCGCGTCGGGCTTCACCGCTTTGCACCGGAGTGCTAGGAGAAGCGGCTGGCCCGGGGGAGCGGCTGGCCTGGCGCGATATATGCACGCAAATTATGCTCATGATTATTACAAGTCGACCTTCCTTGTCCAGATTGTAGGTTTATCTCAAATTAAAAAGAAACTCAGCCAAGAAAAAGATGAGAAAAAAAAAACGCGAGTCTACATTTGAATGTAATACGTGCAGCTGTCGATCGAAAGATCAGCGAACTTTGACTTAACACTGGTTCCAATACCGCTAAAGAGGAGCGTCACCTTTAAAGAATCTTTTATTATCTTTGTTGATGAGTGTTTTTGCAGTTTAATTAGAGTCTAGAGTTTGGTAGATACACAGAACTTGGAAGGGGGGGGGGGGGGGGGGCGGGGGGGGAGGGGGGTGGCGTGGGGTTTTATTTATAGACGTGTTAGCGGATGCTGGTTCTTGCTGACATTTTACAGTAATTGTATTTACGGGCTAAATAAACTACAGTGCGTAAAATGGGGAGAGAAGAGAGGCTTTATCCCGATTGACATGTTGCGCTTCGATTCATTTCTCGACCATTTTGAATACCCACGTAAATGGAACCTACTCTGACCAGGCCTTATTTCTAAAAATACAACTGTGTGTTCCTTCTGCTCCCTGTCTATTCTTATACAATATGTAATAAGTAATTTGTTCCCTTATTAACGAGGAACCTTCAATCATTATCAAAGATGAACTAAGTTAGAGGAGCATCACTTTTTTTTTTTTTTTTTCAATTGATGCGCTAACAGATTTTGGCATCTGCTCCAAAAGAGTCAATGACTGCTTCAAACCAATATTTTGACTGCTGCAGAACGTGCTACAAAAGGTAAAATGCCGCTTCCATCACTGGGAATTAACCATGAAATTAGCAATTATTTTGTTGGACACACATTTTATTATACATTATGCCTATAATTGGGGACAATTGTTTCCTGCAATCAAGCCCATGCGCTCGCACACTTCTGAAATGTCATCTGATCAAATACCTTTTCTTTTTTACTAGAGTTATTTACAATTAAAATAATTTACTTTTTTCTCGTTTTATAGCGTATTAGAAGCTCATGCAAAGGATACCCACGCGAAGTCAAGAATTGTTTTTGTGCCGGTTCCGTCTGAAGCAGAGCCCACTTTTTCGAGCCTTGTCTAAAGGCCCGCTCACACACTTCCGCTTGTTTACATTACACCGTGCTTAGGGCCAAATTCTTGCGATCTCTTACGACGAGACAACACACTGAAACGCTGGCGCCATCTATGTAGTTACCCTGGAAGTAAATTTCACTAGAGCGAATGTTTCGCGGTATTTTCCAGATCCATTGCACGTATTATCTATAAGCAATAATCGTTTACAAAACTGTCAAAACTTTTCAAGCAAACTAAAAATAAATGATGTGAAAAGAAAAAGGAAATATGCGGACACTTTAAGTGTTCCGCGGCTGCCCGATAGGTGGCGCCAGTATGATCTCTCGTCGTAAAATGTGCACGTCCCTGAGTAGCACATTTTCTTCAATCGTTTCCTTCTGAAATACCAGCTGGAACACCTTTCACCTCACGTCGAATAGACACGAAAAAAAAAAAAAAAAAGAATGCATCCTGTTCATTTCCGCAAGGTCGCTTTCCCAGCGAAGCACCGATCTGCGTCCCGCTTAGCCAACACGAAATTTTACCATCGCCCGCCCTGATTTCAAAAGACCCTGTTTTGCGGATTGACTTCGCCTCTGTTCACACTGGATGCAGTCAAAGAACTGGGGAGAACTAGTGTCACTCACCTAGGAACTTGTATATACGCATAAAGAACAGTATTGTAGCTCTTCGAGTCGGACTTCGTACCAAGGGAAGCATACAGATTCATAACAATATGGTAAAACTTCTAACTGTGCCGTAAAATTGTATATCGTCTGGCCTTTCTTTGCAAGCCATCTTCATATGCAATGCTGTTAGAGTTGTCTCTACCTTTTGAAGTCTATACCGGTCTTTTGAATCTAGAAAGGCTTCCTCGCTATACCTAAGGTCACGACCCCCCCCCCCCCCCCCCCCTTTCCCCCTTTTTACGCATATGACGACAAGTGTTTTGCTAGCCTAAAATATGTCCACTGAAACTTGCGTCATTCATTCGTTGTTCCAAAAGACCTATGCTGCATGCGATATTGTTTCCTCGGGTGAAGTGCGATTATTTAATTTGAATATACCGTTTGTTTGCTCAATTGCCACCGATCGCATTTACGGCATGTTAGTTTCTAGATAGTTTAGTTGTTAGAATCGAATGAGTACTTGTTACATCAAAGAGACAGTGGCTGATATCAGCCTCGGGGCAGTAACTCTACTAGTTAACACGTTCCCGGTAACTATACTTGCTTTTTTTCACTAACTCGTAACTGCAGCGCGCTACTGTTTGGTGGAAATAACTTGTAACTGTAACAGGGTTACTATTATTGAAAGTAACTGTAAAGAGTAACGTCGCTACAGTTACTTTTCATATTTCGGCGCAAAAGCTATTCTAAGCACGACCATCAAATCTTCTTACAACTCGTGAGAGAGGGCGTCGCAAGAAACTGCTGCAGGAACTCTCTGAAACGAGAAAGTAAAAAAAAAAAAAAGATTAGAAAGAAAATAAATGATAACTGAATTCTGAGTGGCCCAGAAAATGAGTAATAACTAAATTTTGAGCGAGCCTGCTCGTTTGGCCAAGCTGGTGCCACCAACTGGGGGATGGGGACAATGGTGTATATGGTATTTCGCCCACCGCGCGTGTAAATGAAAGAAAGCGCGGCATCTTTAAAGCGTTTCTTTTTTCTTCGTCCGACGGAGGTAGCAAGTGCCTTTCGCGGAGAGGAGATTTTCTTTGGGATTGTCGCCGAAACGCCCTTGACTTACGGCAGAACTGATCTTCCAAACCTCGTATTTTTGCCACAAGCGTACGTTTTCCTCTAATTTAAATCGTCCAACTCCCAGATGGGCTCCCGTAGGTTTCTACTTCCGGTCCCATTGCTTCACACCACCCGCCTTCTTTTTTTTTTTTTTTTTTTTTTCACAATTTAATTACCGGCGAAGCCTCTTCTCCCGTATGTCCCCCACTTAGTGTTGACCATTTATCTGCTTTCCTAGTCCCGTCACTAGGGAAAGAGCAAACGCTCTTGCCAACTACCTTGCACCACCTAAAGATGAATCTAGCTGTAAGCTTTATTACTTTGCAAAAAGTAAGTTAAAGCTCACCCGCGTGCGTGAAAAATGTACTTCCTTTCTACGCTGAAAGCACAAAACTTCCCGAAGCAAAATCGTCATATAAGTTCGCAACCCCGAGAGACAACGCCACCTCGCGGGAAACACGCGAGGCGGGGAGCCGCATGCGAGTGTGCATCAAAAACCGACACGGACTGGCGGTCAAAATGCGAAACAGAAAAAAAGGGATTAAATACACGTTGTTAAAATAACGAATAACGAATAACGAAAATAACGAACGAAAACAAGAAGCTATCACGAAGTCAGTCTGGGATTTCACCGCAGCGGCACAGTCTGGGCGAATTAGACGAATGAAAGAACGAATCGCAGCGGAGTCACCGGTGCCTGTCGTCGCGCTATCTATCGGCGACATCAGGAAGTGGCCGCACTTTCCACGCGCGATTCCTTCGAGAGATGTCCAATTCCGACGAGAGAAG